GTTCACACAAACTGTTCGATCCCGAGTTAGTACTTTACATCGTAGAGCCGTCGTTTGTACAGATCAAAGCTCTCGTCATAGAACATAGGTCACTTCCTTAACTTATATTTGGACTAAAAAATTGTCATTTTGATTATTCTTACGGTCGAAGAAATATTAAAGTAATAGTTTCGCTAATGTTGTCTTCACAAATGTTGTGAAACTAATTTCCGTTGCAATTCACAATGTCTGCGACAACAGTGGAAAGTCAGTGCCAGGCTGATAACGACCCCGTGTGATGCTAGTTTTATTAGCTACGTTAACGGAGTGTTTGCGACCACTCGTTAACGGAGAGTTTGCGACTACTCATTCCTCACCGCCAGGTAATAAATATCGACACAGACCCACAAGCACAATGTCTTCTTTGAAAGACAAAGAGGCCAATGGGCTACTGGTATCGACCATTTGGTTTCTTCCTCTCAAGTCAGGAGATACGTTTTTATCATCTCAGATAGATGCAAAGAAGGCTAGTAGCCGCTATCAAAACCATTGTCCAAAGTTGTCCAATTGTAGCGGAGGCATAGCTCCTTGTCAGAGATCTAGAATACAAACTGGTAGCAGAAGGCGGAGTAACAGAAACATTGCCTGAATTTGATGGTCTAGATGAAGGGAGACTGGATCTAGTTGTTCCTAAGTCAGCTTGTGACGTAACTCTTGAAGTGGACTCCACTAAAGCAGTTGTAACAGAACTTGTCGCTGAAATTACACAGTGGTAAAAACAATCAGAACAGGATTACGGATTGAAATAAGAGAACAAAGAAAAGTCGCTTTAAATAGCACTGAAAAGTCCTCGGGACAATCAATAAAATGGCACCCAGGGACAAATTCCTTTAGGTTCAGAAGTCATCATTTAATTTTTGAAATACTACCCCCTTCCCGAAACAATGTTGAAATAGTGTCACACGATTGATGGATAAAACTTGAAATTGCATTAGGCTTGTGGGTATGGGAAACGGGGGATGGGGGATAAAGATAACCATTTTTAAGAAACGTTGATGACCATTGCAGCTGGTAAACTATTTCTTCAAATGCTGCAAACTAAAAATCGACATAATTAGTTACCTGTAGTGCCAAGGCTTATGTGGACAAAAATCTGTATCGTATGCGTACTTGGCGTTTCCATGTTATTTGGAGGTGTTTTCGAATGCATCTTGATTATTATCTTGCTCTTGTTATCGCTATCCTGAATTGTTGTCAGCATTAATGAGCCTCTTATAATCTGTACTCTGCTCCAGAAAATCGCTACTGGATGATTACCTCCAGTGTTGTTTGTTTTTGTACATCTCTGACAAGAATTGCAGTAGGCAAATCTGTTTCCATTGCCATCGTACCACTCTATATCCACCACATATGCACATTGTATCTCGTTCATTAGCAGGATCTTTGTTAAGTTAAGATTGTGCCCCTGTTCAGTCCACACACCTACACGTGAAAGAGAGGAAATATCAGTTAAGTCTGCAGTTCAAACAATAAATTTGTTTCCATTAAGGTTACAGTATACCTTCAGGGGTGTCTCGCGCGCAAGCGATGTTGAGCGTGCAGTTTAAGCTGTAGATACCTAAACCCCTATATCAAATTAAAGCTTATGGAGCTGGCTNAAATATCAGTTAAGTCTGCAGTTCAAACAATAAATTTGTTTCCATTAAGACATATATTGCAACTAGCACTATAGAACTGAATCTTGCCTGATAATATGCTTGAATTGTCCTCCAATTTCCCAGTCCATACAAATACAAAATCCTTACGATATTGAAGAGTCTCTTACACTCATAGGAGTGGGTAACATACCCTACCCCTACGAGTCCTCCTTTAGGTTCCTCATCACTCGCACAAGTCCTTTTTCTTAATTGTGTTCCACACCACCACAATTCTTCTTCCTTTACTCGGAGTCTCTATTGTTACGCCGATTACCCTTTCTTACATCAGGGACCCCACTCCTTCGATTCCTCTATCTTACTTACATAATGCCACCCCCCCCCCCCCCCCCCCCCCCCCCCCCCCCCCCCCCCCCCCCCCCCCCCCCCCCCCCCCCCCCCC